AAGCATGAGTTGCTTGCTTTTGTCATATTAAACTTACCGAGCTTGCACTGTGCGATCGAATTTAGGATTGCAAAGAAAAAAAGTATTTAGGCTATATCCGATGAGTTGTCTCGTTCTAAGTGTTGATTTGGGAACCAGCGATAAGTAGCGGAGGATTGTGCCCGCCAGGCTACTCGTTCGTGATCACGTTCAGCTCGGCTACGACGGGATATGCATTATCGACGGAGGCGATGATCACAAAATTCTATTCCCGGACTCGCCGCTACGATTTCTAAGTGTTGATTTGGGAACCAGCGATAAGTAGCGGAGGATTGTGCCCGCCAGGCTACTCGTTCGTGATCACGTTCAGCTCGGCTACGACGGGATATGCATTATCGACGGAGGCGATGATCACAAAATTCTATTCCCGGAATCGCCGCTACGATTTAGCGCCATGTTTTTGGTATCGCTTAAAACCGTAGCGTTGTACATCTCCCTACTGATCTCTGGCCTAAAACCGGAGCGTTGTGCATCTCCCACTCATCTCTGCGGAGACGTTTCCACGGACCGGCAGAAGCCCGGGTGTGATGACGTGTTAGTTGCTATTTAGTGTAATGCAGGTTAGATTTTTGTAGGACGGATTCTGATATAAGTAAACAGAAAAAATGGTATGTTTTTTTTCTTAGCAATATTAAAAGTGTTCATCTTTATTCATCGGTATGTTGTAATATTAAAAATTTACAGTCAACAGCTATGAAAAAGGAACTGGCCAAGGCAAAGAAGGTTTTGCATCCAAATAGCAGGAAGTCAATTGCTATCATAAAGAAAACTCACAAGTATGTTATTAAGTCATAATTTTAGATTATGTGCAGTTATAAATAATAAAAGTAAACCGAAACAGTAATAGGTTTTTAAAATTTTAAAAATCTGATTTCGATAGTTACTACTAAAAACGTTTTATGTCCTTAGGATATCCAATAGGGAAAAGGCAAAACTAGGTTGTGCAATTAAACAAAATGTGATTGGAGAGAAGATGCTATGGATGCAAGAACATATGGTACCAGATGTCTGTCCCTATACACCGCAACTTACAGCAGATTTACTTGAATTGTAAGTGACACGTAAACTTAGAATGTTTACTATGTTACTTATTCCAATGCTTATCAAATTATTAGATATATGGCTCGCCATGATAAAGAATTGGAACAAATTTCAATAAAACATTCAGTTGGTGGTAGAAGACACCGACAGCATGCCAGTAGAGAAGATATTATAAGAATGACAAAGGAACGTGAGAGGGAAGAATACAACACATGTGGAATAGGTTGAGAAATAGCCTCTTTGTCTACAATGGAAAGCAGAACTTTTCGTCAATATTTATTTTTCACACTTTTTTGTAGAAATCCCAGATATTCTGAATTCAACGCAATGTACCATGCTTCGGAAATGGGACGGTGAGCTGAGATACCTTCCTAATTTCGAATTTAGAAGATTTGGGAAGAAACACCTAAATGAGCTGGCACAGAAGAAAAATAAACCACCTAGGCAGCTTTTGCAGAAAGTATCAAATTCAATACCCTCAGTTGATGAGTTAACTGAAAATGTACAGTCACGCCAAAGAGAAGTCAGTACAGCAGACTGATGATTCCTCAGGAGTGAATACAATGGAACTAGAATAAATGATTTTTTATAAATAACCCATAACATTCTCACTCGTCGTTTAAATCGTGAAAGTATAACTTATGCAACTCAAATTTCTGGATGCTAAGTCGCAAAGTGAATCTAACTTGTGAAACAAGTTAGCCCATAGTAGCTCTGAAACCGCCATTACTAATTACACGGCAGACACAGACGCCGAACGAAAGAAGGAGCGACGAGTCCAAAGTGGGTTGATCTTTGGTAATTTGTAATTTATTATCGGTATCTCCTGGTTCCGGACAGCCGGAGGGCAACCTCGGCCTGCTGACCTCCTTCCTGGTTTTCCTCTTGGTGCCCCCCCCCCCCC